TGATATGTTGTTTGCTTAATTCGATTTATCTTAGGGGTGGTTGATTCATTTTGATGATTGCATGTTCTTATACTTTAATCGCGTTTGCTTAATCCGCGTATGTTTCTCGTGTTTGCTTAATTCACGATTACTATATTTTATCCGTTTTCTTAATTCGGAAATTAGGAATATGTATCGTATAATATCAATTGCGCTTATTTGATTGTTATTATAATCGAAAAGGGGATAGAATCTGCTTAGGAATTGGGAATTATTTGGATCAATGATAAGTTGGGAAACTAAAATGGCAGATTAACTATTTCAGCTTATTTTAATAATCACTTTTTTTTATAATCACTTTTTTTCAGTATTTTTTTCTGTTAATCAAAATTCAAACCCCCCATAAACTGTTACTATAATTGGTTAACCACTACAAGAATCCTTGCGATACGATACTCGAGTTGTCGTTACCGTAACTATACTTTTTCATAATACTCGTTTTTGATCCGTGTGTGACAACAGATCAATCATCGTGTCATAGCTTACATTCATGCTTTACAATGCCCAAAGTATTCTAAAGTCATGTGTTTATACATATAGGAGCATCTCATATATGTTTTATGTATATTTAATCATGTTAGGAAACTTAGGTTTTTACAAACATGACTTAGGTGGTCCAAAATATGTGCAAAACTCATTTTTAGAAGTTTCAGGTGTTTGAGTCGACTCGAAGCCCTATTTAGATCGACTCATAAAATTTGATTTTCAATATTTTACTCCTGAGTCTGCTCGCGTCGACCCTTTGATTGACTCATACTATGACCATTTTAATTTGTCTTTTTGAAGCAAGTTTGCGTCGACGCATGACCCTGTTCCGGTCGACGCATAACTTAATTTTATGCATAATTTGCATTCGGGTGTACTCAGGTCGACCTCTCCTCCTGTTCAGGTCGACCGTTCACTAACTTATGACTATGTTGTTGGTCTGATATGTTTTAAAATATTGTTATGTTTGTTAGTTGGTTAAGACATCATATATATTCATTTTGTCTCATCATTTCTTAAAAAAACAAGAAAAGTGAAAGATATACACTGAATTATTCTCATCATCTTCATCCTCATTCTTGCATTTTCTCAACAATTACACATAACAATGTTTGTTGATCTTTTGCATCATTGAGGTGATAACGTCCAAACGTAGGATTGTGTATCTCGTTTTGGGTTGAGATTTCGATGGGTTTTTCTTGAATAAAACCGTTAGGGTTTTGTCCTCCAAGATCATGAGGATTTGGGGGGGGGGGGGGGTGTTTGCACAAGTATTTGCTTCACAGATTCAGCCGAGCAAAGGGAATTAAAGAACAGTGCGTTCGTTCAATCAAGTAGCGTTAATCAGAGGATTGTTAAGGAAGATTTGGGTTCGAACGATGTGTGATCAAAATCAGCCAAGTGAAAGGTTTGAAGACCAATGGGGTTGCTCATACAAGTAGCAATAACCAGAGGTTTGTTCAACACGTTCGAGGCACTTGATTCGAGTTGAATCAAGAGGAGAGAAGATATAGTATCAACATCAATAACTAGATTTGAGTGTGTGGTGACTATTGACTCTCTTGTATAAACTTTTGCAACAAGATAATACATATCTCAATTCTAGTTTTAGAATTGAGGGCAGACGTACCCTAAGCGTGGACTAAAGGGGAAATACCTAAACAAATCTGGTGTTGTTCTCTCTTTCTCTATCTCTTTATTTTGAATTGTTTATGTTTGTGTAATATCAATTGATCGATAAATATCTGCTGTAGTGTAGTGCTAAAAATCTAGTTTGAAAACTCATTATAATCACTTGGATTGTAATTACAAAAATTCTGCACTTACATTACATAGGAAACAATACTTGGAGTGTTTTGCACACCAAGTATTAGACAAATTTATCATACACAAACTGTTTCTTATATTGTCAAATTAAGTTTACACTTTATAAGTCATTGGAAATTGGACAAACTAAAGTGGTATTATTTGTAATGATTAATCATCAAACTATTGATTCAATTTCTCATTAGATTTGTTGTTCCATTTGGCTTGTCGCATATCCGATCTTTTCGGTAACGGTTCATTTAGACGACTTGGTTCCTCAACCGTTTCTGCATAATTTTTTAAAACCAAATTTTTAAGCGCTGACTCTTGTAATAAATTAGTGATCTATTCAACCCCTTTTCTAGATCATTGTCATCGTCTAACAATTGTTTGCCTTCATTTCATCACTACAGACATTCCTTCAATCACTGCTTTGTACTCAACTTGGTTGTTGGTGGCTGAAAATTAAAACCTTAAAGAACTTTTGACTACAAGGTCAGACCCATTTTCTAGAATCACATCAATCCCACTTCTTTGGCTATTGGAAGATCCCTCTGTGAAAATAACCCAGGTACTAGCTAGCTCTGAAGGAATGCGAGTCATTTTGGCTAGGAAATCGGTGAATAGTTGGGCTTTCAATGCCTTTCACACTTCAAAAGATACTTCGAACTCCGACAATAATATAGCCCATCTTATTAAGCACCCTGCCAAATCTGGTCGATGGAGCACCTATTTTAGAGATAAGTTCATTTGAACTATTACAGAATATGCAAGGAAGTACCTTCAAAGTATTCAAGATGCGGTTACCAATTTTATATCCACTTTCTCTATCTTTTGCTAGTGCGCCTTTTTTTCAGCCAAAGCTTTTTAATATGAAGTATACTAGAATCTGGTTAGAATATGGCTCTCTAATCAACATGGCGCTTGACGCCTCCTCTGAGACAACCAAGTATAACTACAGGGTCTCCCCATGAAGTGGTCGCATGAGTACCTATGGTGTGGCCAACACCCTATTTAATGATTCAAACATTTTTTTGCAATCGGGTGTCCGTTCAAACTTTGCCTCTTTGCTCAATAACCTATAGAAAGGCAACACACGTTGGGCTAATTTCAAAATGAACCTATTTAAAGCGAGTAACATACCGTTAAGCTTATGGACTTATTTCTTTGAACTTAGGGCATTTATTTGAACCACTACTTCACAATTTTCAGGGTCGACTACAATTCTACACTCTACCAGATAGAAATCGAAGAACTTGTCGACTCTAATAGCGAATGTGCCATTTTTCTTGATTAAGTCTATATTATACTCTCAGACTCTTTTGAATACACACTGACAAAGTAGAGCATTGAGCTCTTCTTGGTCGGATTTCATAATCATTTCGTCCATGTACACTTCTACTGTCTCCCCTATTTCTTCATGAAAAATCTTGTTCATCAATCTTTAATACGTTGCGTCGACATTCTTCAACATGAAAGGCATGATGTTGTACTGATAATTAGCCTGCTCGATCATAAATGTTGTTTTTCATCATGTCGAGTTTAAACATGGGTATCCGTTTATACAAGGAATAAGCATTCAAGAATGACAATAGGTTGTATTTGGCTTAGTTATCCATAAGATTGTCGATATTTATGAGTGGGTAAAAGTCTTTCAGATACACTATATTGATATTTGTGTAATCCACACACATCCTTCATTTTCTTGAGGCTTTCTTTACCAGAATCACGTTGGAAACCCATTTTGTGTATCTTCATAAGGAGGGCCTTCCTTCCTCTGTGTGATACACTATCTTCATATGGATTGGGGAAGCCACCGTGCCTAGATTTTCTAGGAGAGATCTCCCAAAGATACAACAAAATGTACTCACCCATAAAACTATTAGAAAGTTGAGGCTTACCTTTCTCTTTCCTAGCCCATCTCCCAATAATATGTTAGACCTGTCATTCTAAAAGGGAGAGTTGTCGAATTGTTGAAGGTCATAAAATCTCTAGAGTGATATGTAGATCTGGTTATCAGAGTTCTAATCGCTCTATAATGTCGCATAAAGGATGTTGCACGGGCTTTTGTTGTTTACTAGGAATCTCTTGAGAGTGTGATCAACAATGTTAATCTCTAGGATAAGCGACAAGTCAGTTTTCGGCATTCCGTTCATCTTCTCATGATCTAGAAATCCTATAGCGAGTTAATCCCTGCTTCACGCAATGATGTTAACAGTTGTTTGCAAAAAAGTGTCCTGGTAATGGATCTACATTGGATACAGTTATGTTACGGATCTCGTCGATGATCGCTAATGGAGCTGGGACAAGATTAAAAGGTTTAACACACGTCTCAGATGTGATGTATGAGGTGACTGTCTCGGTCTCAAGGTTCTAGTAGGGCTTTGACTTGGATAAAAAAAATGATCTATTTATGAATTTCGTAGGAATTAGTGGTTGATTTCCACAGACAGGGACACTATTTCGTTATGGAACCAATTGGTGTGTATCAATGGTGAAAGATCATAAACTAGTAGTGTTGATATCCGATGCGGTGGCGTTGGGTCGGCATGCAAGGTTAGAATTCCAAATCCTAAGTCAGTTCAGAACTCACGATGAGTATAGTTAGAAATGGAGATCTCCAAAAAATGTATCTTAAATATCACGTGTTAGACTTCCAATGGATTAACCTTTGGCTTTAATCCTTTGACCGAGCACATTTTAAATTATAAGCGAATCAATCCATATTTGAACACCTACAAAATTGTGGTTGAAAATTTAAAATTATGGTTAATCATATTCATTTGATGGTTAACGAGTTTTTAAAATTCAAATAATTATATAAATAAATAAAGACAAAAAGTACAATACATGGTGCACTAAAAGCACACCATTCAACATTAAAGGAGAGAAAAAAACAAACAAAAAATAGAACTTAAAACAAGATAAAAAGTACAATACATGGTGTAACTAAGTTAGTGTGAGATAATATGAGTAATATATTTGCGACTTCTAAAATAAGAAAGCATTCTAATTTAGCAGGGTGTTTTATTTTTTTGCCTAAAGTTAAGGCATGTTTGAACAAGTACAGAACAAGAATGCTATAACAACCTCATAGTTCAGAAGAACCTTTCTTGGCATTGATTTCTTGATAATGTTTTGAGTTATTATTTCTTAATCTAGAAACAAATATGGCAAGTCCACCTCAAAATTCCGACGAAACGTTTCCACCGGCCGATCTTGCTGGAGAATTGAATCCTGGAAACAATATGGAGGTTCAAGTCGATCCTATATCTTCTGAGGTTGCTACCACCAAGGAAATGGAGGTATTTGCATATACATTTCCATTGATTTTTCATATTGAATGTGTGTCGAGATTTCGATACAAGCATGTGTAACTACATGTAATTATTTTCGTTCCTTTTTTCGATGGAAGTATGATATACATGTTTGAATAACTTATATATATCTTTTATTTTATGAAGGAGGAAGTTGCAGCCACAGAGGAAAAAAAGGAAAGAGAAAAGAAGGAATGTTTGGATAAATTAAAATCTGCGATTATAATTTCAGGCATAATTGTGGCTGTGGTGGGAGCAGCATTTGCAATAACCAAGAAATTAAAAGAGAAGTGATTCTAGATTCAAAAAGGATCGAGAATATTAGAAGATTTATAGATATATGTTCTTTATATATATATATATTTTTTTTTCATATCAAGTTTCTTTCATTTTGTATTAATTGAATTAGTTGCACATTTCCAGGTTTTGAATATTTTAAAATACTCAACAGATAATGTATTTTTGAGATGGATATATATACATTTTTCATTGCCACCTTTATTTGGAACTAGAAATCGGTGGAGTTAGAATGGAAAATAGTTCAGGTGCACTCAAGTGAACTCTATGTACGACGGAGTGGAGATGGACCTTTAACGTTAACATTCTAAAACTCAAGTCATTGAATGAGTGAGAAAGTAATTTAGGAATGTGAATTAGAGAATCTTGAAAATGGCGTGTTTTTAATATGAGGGGTTAAAACAATTTTTGTCAAACCCAACACCTCGTAAGAGTTGTCGCACAATTAGATCCAATTGTGGAAAATGTTTTAGAGGTTGTAATCACGTGTAATAGGTTGGGGCTTAGATCTCATTTGTTCTATAAATATTTTCGGGTGATGCTTGGTATGGGCATTCATTATGGGTCTTACTAGTAGCCCAAAACAATTTCCTTCCAACCCTTTGTTTCTACTCGTAGAATGAGGGCTTGTCATGTGAGTCTTCACTCAAAATTTTAGCCAAATGAAGTGGAAATGTTTTGATGGGACATTCATCACATTGAAAACAAGCACATTAAATATTTTCCTTGTGATCAACAATATTTTGCAAGTGTATGGAAGTATCGAGTAGTATAAAAAATTGTTCAATCATAGAGACCAAGTGAATGATTACCGTTTTCTATCATATCTTGATGTTACTAAAACAGTTGAAAATTGGGGTTTTCAGTTTAAGCAGATACAATTTTAAGGGCATAAAATTATAATAAAAGTGTGAGGTTTAGGGTACACGATTCTTGTCTACACATATTCAAATGAACCTCTTGTTCTATTACGAGAAAGAAGCTACATTATAGAAAATAGAAGAAGAAAAATGGACGAAACTTATTTTCATCCGTGTGTTTTCCTATCTCAAATAAATACTTCGTCCACTTTCGTCGGCCCAATTTATCTACCTGAGATCAATCTCACGCACCTATAAAAAATGAGACTTTCTCAACTGAGTATGAGGCACTTATGTAATCTCGTACTCAATTATCTATAATTCTGCTATCGGATACCGAAACATACCTTTTTAGCGTATGATCAGTACCTAAATTACCTTTACTTTCATCAAAGATACATGCTTTAAAAATTTGGAGTTTCAAAATAAATCTTAGCTTAGTTTCTCATAATCAAACAATAGAGGGTTCAACTAAGATATGTCAAGAGACAATCCTCGTGATCATTAGTCCCTAGAAGACTACTCACTCATATTTGACGGTAAAGAAAATATAACATACATAGTAATTTCATACATAATCAAAGGAAAATAATATAAATAACCAGTATTTTAAAAATCAGACTGAACCGGTCGGTCGAATAAGTTGAATTTAAAGAATGAACTTGTAAAATTATGATATTTTGAAAATTTGAATTTTATAGGTGTTGTGATTTTTTTAGACTGAGTCAACTGGTTTCATCTGTATAATAACTATATTTTTTCTATATAGATCGGCTTATTCAACTGATTTACCTACTTAAATCCAATTTAGCCATGTAGTTTAACCAGTGGCTCAATAGTTCAACCAATGATCTGGTGACCGAGTACTCTCGTCGGTTTGATGGATAATTTGGTTTTTAAAACACTTGCAATAAAAATAAGAGAATAGAACATGGATTTAAAACAAAGAAAACTTGATTAAAGAAGAAACTCCAATGGAGTTTAGAGTTTACAACATTTGAAATTGAAAAAAAAAATTGTATAAGATATAAATTTTAAGGTAAACTAGAATTATAGGGCCTAAGGTCCATTCTCTCAAAGAGATTATATACTACTTATATACTTCTTACAATCAAGACATACTAATTTCGCATTAAGATCAATTATGAGTCATTCCTCCTTGCCTTGGAACAGTTGGGAAGCCAAAAGATTAGGAAAAACATTACAAAAGACCAAAAGTCCGCACTTGAAATAGAAGATGACTTTGGGGGCATATTGACCGACGTTTGACATGCTAGGTGACACAAACCTCCCATGTTGACTACTAGATTTTTGTACCGGCTAATCCATTTTGCATGTATTCTTTGGTCCTTTCACATTTGTTTTGTCTCATAAGTTCCTTATTACCTGAAAAAAATCAGGAAAGGACCAAAGAATAATATAACAGTAACACTGTAAGACATCTTGCTTAACAATTTCCCTATAAAAATTCAATTATAATAATTGATCGAACTTTGTGAAAGCATGATCTAGACAATCCTTATCAACAAAGGAGGAAACAATATCTAATATCTCTTAATCTGCCCACACGGCCTAGTTGTCTCTCGCCATGTTCTGGGCTCCAGGACGAGAGTTTTCCATTTTAAAAGGTCTTCCAATACATAAAAAGAAACGACCATAAGTGGAAGCATGAAGTCGGTAGAAATTTAAGCTTTGCATCCCTGTTGAAAGCACTTGGAGAAATCTCTTGTGATATATGATTTTCAATAGGGATGCAAAGCTTAAATTTCTATCGTCTTCATGCTTCCACTTACGGTCGTTTCTTTTTATATATTGGAAGACCATTTAAAATGGAAAACTCTTATCCAGGATCCCGAAACATGGCGAGAGACAACTCAGACGTGTGGGTAGATTAAGAGACATTAGATATTGTTTCCTCCTTTGTTGGTAAGGATTGTCTAGATCATGCATTCACAAAGTTTGGTCAATTATTATAATTGATTGACTCATTTTATAGGGAAATTGTTAAGCAAGATGTCTTACTGTGTTACTGTCATATTATTCAGTGTTTTTCCTATAAAAAACAATGTACCTAACTGTAAACCAAAACAAAATTTCCTTTTGTTTAAAATCTATATTTAAGTCAAAAATCGGGTAACTAATTTGTATCAGTTCAAACTTTTGTACATAAACAACACTGGCATATGAACATAAGAACATAAACTACTTCATTTCAAACCTAATTGATACCTGATTTGCATCATTTCCAAACTGGGTACCAAAACAACACTGACATATAAACTACTTTAATTTTAGACCTAATTGGTACCCGATTTATATTACTTTAATATTGGGTATCAAAACAATATTGACATAAAATACTTTCATTTTAAATCTAATTGGTACCTAATTTGCATCAGTTCATTAACAATATTCAAAAAGGTCCAAATACACTTAAAATAATTCAAAATTTATAACATTTATTAATAGAATTAAAAATGATCAATATTAATTCATAATATTTCAACATCATTAAGTAACAACATTCATTAATAAGACTAAAAAACAATCTGTGAGATATTAGATTGAACTCTAGTATAATCGAAGTCTGTTCGTGAGTAATGCGTATTGTAGTCGAAGTTTGTTCTAATATGCATTAGTCAATATTGCTAGGTTTGTTAGCATGTTGAATTAGGCCTTGCTTGTAAGACCAATTGTTTAAGTTAGCTTGTAATAGGTAATTTTTCAAAAGCCCATTAGGTTAGTGTGCTAATTTTCTTATAAATAGAACGCTAGTCTCTCATCTTGTATAAGGAAAAATAGGAAGATAAAATCCTAATTCAAGAGAGAGAGGTTATTTGTTATTCTTATATACTTTTAATCTTGTTTGAAGGAGAAAGGAAAGAATAACAGTTTATAACCAATCCTTGTTGTTTTTTCCTTGTTTTCGTTGTTAACCCTAACCCTTGTGTGTTTCTTGTCTATAAAGAAACCGTTTATATTTTGTTTCAAGGCATCCTATTCAAAAATATTGGTGAGGTGAGCATGGAGAAGATGTCTTCAATAAAGTATGAGATTGAAAAGTTCACCAGAGTGGACGACTTCGGTCTGTGGCGCTTAAAGATGAAATACCTACTGGTTCAACAGGGTTGTTTGGAAGCGTTAAAGGGAGAGGCAGCCATGGATGCTGCATTAACGGAAAAAGGAAAGACGTCCATGATTGAGAAAGCCCACAAAGCAGGTTTGCTTGGTGATAAGGTTCTTCGATAGAAATCACAGGAGACTACAACATCGGGGTTATGGGTGAAACTTGAAAGTTTATACATGACCAAATCTCTAGTGAATCGACTCTATCTGAATCAAGCTTTGTATTCATTCAAGATGAGTGAAGACAAAGTGTTGGCTGAGCAGTTGGATATGTTCAATAAGCTGATTCTTGATCTTAAAAATATTGATGTGAAGATCGATGATGAAGACCAAGCATTATTGTTGTTGTGTGCCTTGGCCAGAACACATGCCCACTTCAAAGAAACTCTCTTGTATGGAAGAGAGTCCATGAGCTTTGAAGAAGTTCAATCAGCCTTGTATTCTAAGGACTTGAACGAACGAAAGAGGCATAAAACTTCGACGGTGGGCAAAGGTTTGGCTGTTAAGGGAAAATTCTTGGGAAAGGATGTTAAGTTCGACAAGAAAAAGGGTAAAAGTAAGCAGAAGTCTTATAGTGGCGAAACATCTGGTATTCGATGCTATCACTGTAAGAAGGAGGGTCACACAGGAAAGGTGTGCCCTGAATGCCTAAAAGATCACGAAAGTAAGGATAATGGCAACACAACCATTGTTCAAGATGACTTCAACTCATCTGATGTCCTTGTAGTTTTAAGCGACGACTCAAGAAAGGAGTGGATTATGGATTCAGGTTGTACTTGGCACATGACTCCAAATAGTGAGTTGTTCGAGGAGCTATGTGATTAAGATTGTGGATTGCTGCTGCTGGGAAACAACAAATCTTGCAAAGTTGCAGGTATTGGATCTATGAGATTCAAGCTCCATGATGAGTCAATAATGTTATTGACTAAAGTCAGGTATGTACTTGATTTTAAGAGAAATTTGATTTCTCTTGCTAAATTCAATAGGAAGGGATATGTTTTTCAAGGAGAG